GTAACTGATTTAGCTAGAAATATTCACTTGGGAAGCCTTCTTAGAAGTCATTATGCCTAGTTATGCACACTCTTCTCTCCACCTTATAAAAAGCCTTGTCTTCCTAATGATTTTATTTTATTTGTCTCTGAAGTTTGTAAGTTCTGATTTTTTCCTCTCCTTCCTTTCTGTTCTCCCTGCTATCATTCCATACCAAGTCTCTTCCCTTTCTTTTTCATACAATACATGCATGTCAGTTTATATTTCTTTGACCAATATACTCATCTTGTTTTTCTCTTATACAGAAAAAGACAAGCTTCTTTTTCTGGCTTCCCAATGTTTCCCCATATATTAGTAAGTCCAGATTCTCATGATTAGCATAGGGCAATCTCCATATTTGGCTCCTACCAAGTCTTTTTGTTGAGTAGTATCTTCTGTAGTTCTGACACTTTCCTATTGCTGCCATGTTGCTCACCTCATTTCCACCAACTGGAATTTTCTGGCCTCCTGGCTACTATTTTGCTTTTGTTTAACATCCTTCTGTTAAACAAAAATCTGCTGTTAACTTCCGTATCTCATAGTGGGCTATTTCCTTTTGAGTACTGAAAATATTCATCATATGTATCATTCATTTTCTATTTACTTATACAGCCCTCTTGTTATTTTATACTCTGTTATCTTACTTTTAAAATTCTGTGAACAGTTAAGTTGTCTAACTGCATTAGGACAAAAGCCCTGGTCTCAAATCTCTGACTCGTTTGCTCAGATTATAGGCACATATTAAGAAGGTTTTAATGTTGTCAGTTTTTCTTGAATTTGGCAGAAATTCAGGAAACTGGGGACATTTGAAGATGATTTGGGGCATTTGGTGATCTTTAGGTTGATCCAAATTGTACTCGTTCTCTTGGTGATACTGGTCTCACCTTAGAACAGTTAATTTTCTGGATTGACTCCAATTTCTGGAATGTGAGGTAGAGTTGTTCGTATGTTATGCTGGAGTAGGCCCTTCATTTATGCAGTGATTCTCTAAGTGTCAATCTAATCTCTTTCCCCTTCTCTCCCCTCCTTGTTTTAAAAAATGGAATCTTTTGGGACTTTGTCCCCATAACATTTATTTTTATTGTAAGATTTTATATTATTACTAGAGGCCCGGTGCACGAAATTCATGCACTGGGGGTGGGGTGTGTGTGTGTGTGTCCCTCAGCCCAGCCTGCACCCTCTCCAATCTGGAACCCCTCGAGGGATGTCCGACTGCCCGTTTAGGCCCGATCCCTGTTGGACATCCCTCTCACAATCCAGGACTACTGGCTCTCAACCACTCATCTGCCTGCCTGCCTGCCTGATTGCCCCTAACCGCTTCTGCCTGCCAGTCTTATCACCCCCCAACCACTCCCCTGCCAGCCTGATCGACGCCTAACTGCTCCCCTGCTGGCCTGATTGCCCCCAACTGACCTCTCCTGTCCTCCCGGTCTCTCCCAACTGCCCTCCCCTGCCGGCCTGGTCTCCCCCAACTGCCCTCCCCTGCCAGCCTGGTCACCCCCAACAGCCCTCTCCTGCAGGCCCGGTCGCCCCCAACTGCCCTCCCCTGCTGGCCTGATCACTCCTAACTGCCCTCCCCTGCAGGCCATCTTTTGGCAGCTATCTTGTGGCCACATGTGGGCGGCCATCTTGTATGTTGGAGTGACGGTCAATTTGCATACTGGTCATGACTAATTAGCATATCTAGTCATGACTAATTAGCATGCCTGGGCTAATTAGCATATCCTTATATAAGATTTTTAAAAAATATATTTTATTGATTTTTTTAAAGAAAGGAAGGTTGAGGGTTAGAGAGTTAGAAACATGGATGGGAGAGAAACATCGATCAGCTGCCCCCTGCACACCCCCTACTGGGGATGTGCCCTCTATCAAGGTATATGCCCTTGACCGGAATCGAACCAGGGACCTTTCAGTCCACAGGCCAACATTTTATCCACTGAGCCAAACCGGTTGGGCAAGATTTTATATTATTAGCTTTTTCACTTATTCTCTTGTTGGAGATCATGTGATATGGTCTTCATATAATAAGACTAGTGGTATATATTTTTTAAAAACTGTATTCACTGTATTAGAAAAACGAGGTAGAGGGGTTTTTTTTTTGTAACTTTATTGAATATTTAAACTTTATTTTTATCGTTGACACTATTACAAAAGTCCCCATTCCTTGCCCCCACCTCCACCACCACCACCTGCCTTTTGCCCAGTTCTAGCACTACCTTCCCTCTGGCCGTCACTGCACTCTTGTCTGTGTCTATGTGTCTTGCATATATGTCTGTCTATATGTAGGTTTTGTGTAGACAATTCATTTCTCTTAGATACATACCTAGAAGTAGAATTGGTGGGTCAAATGGTAACTCTATTTAACTTTTTGAGGAACTTCCAGATGTTTTCCAAAGTGGCTAAACCATTTTACATTCCTAGCAGCAATGTATGAGGGTTCTAGTTTCTTCATATCCTTGCCAACACATCTGTCTTTCTGTTTCTTTTTGATGTTATTGTAAGTGGAATTGTGGGTGTGAAATAGTATTTTATTGTGGTTTTGATGTGCTTTTCACTGATGACTCATGTTGTCAAGCATCTTTTTATGTGCTTATTGGCTATTTACATAGCTTCTTTGGAGAAATGTCTGTTTACATCTTTTGCCCATTTAAAAATTCAGATATTTTTTCATTTTAGAGTTGTAGAATTTTTTTATATATATATCCTGGATACAAATATCTTATGAGATAAACAATTTGGAGTTTTTCCCCACCTTTTTTTAGGGTGTACTTTGAAACATGAAGTTAATGTTGATGATCCAGTTTACTTAATTTTTTCCTTTGTTGCTTGTGCTTTTGGTGCCATGTAACATTTGCTCTTCATTTTCTTTGAAGGATTTTATAGTTTTAGCTCTTTCATTTAGGTCTTTGATCTCTTTGATTTAATTTTTGTCTATGGTGTGAGATAGTCTAACTTCATTCTCTTGCATATGGCTATGTAGTTGTCCCAGCACCATTTATGTACATAGTTTCTTTATTGCATTGTTGTGGCATCCTGTTGAATTGACCATAAATGGGAGGCCTCTGTCTGGACTCTCAGTTCTATTGCATTGATGTATCTGTTTACCCTTAGCGGTATGTCTGTATCAAACTGTCTTGATTACTGTAGTTATGTATAGTAAGTTATAAAATCTAGAAGTGTGTTAGCCCTACTGTTTTGTTTCTCGTCTCAAGATTGTTTTGCCTATTCTGAACCCCTTGCATTTCCATATGAATTTTAGGATTAGTTTGTCAATTTCTGCAAATAAAAATGGCTGGTAGGATTTGATAAGGGATTGTTTTGATTCAGATCAATTTGGGGACTGTTACATCCTAAAGATATTAAGCCTTCTTGTCTATGTACATGGCTGTCCTTCCATGCTGGAGGGTAAAGCCAACAACAGTTAGCATATTAATGCAAAAGGAAAACATTGGAAGGCCAATGGACTTTGATATTCAGCAGGGCTGAAAATCAGCATAATATTGCCCTGTTGTGGGCTCAGTGGCTCAAGGCAATTTCCTAACCTGATAATCCTTACATTGTTTACCAAACTCTACTTTTGATCTGCCTGTATGCCTTGCTGACGGGCAAATGTATATTCAAGTAAATAAATAGTGGACCAGGCCAGAAGTCGGTGTCTCTCTCTTCAAGAAAGAGGCTCCACCTGGCCCCCAATGCCTTCTAAATTCATATTTCTTGTATAGCATATTCATTTGTGCATTGGCCCCTCCTTCGGACCCTGAACCTAGCCTTGAACATCGTGGCACTTCCATTTGCTTAGGTCCTTTTTAAACCCTTACCTGAGGATATATTTTTATTGATTTTTAGAGAGAGGAAGGGACAGAGAGAGAGAAGAACACTGATGTGAGAGGGAAACATCAATCCATTGCCTCCCTTACTCGCCACGACCAGGGATTGAACCCGCAACCTAAGTATGTACCCTGACCAGGAATTGAACACACAAATTTTTGGTGAATGGGACACTCCAACTAACTAAGCCATATACCAAGGCAGGTCTTTAATTTTTTCAACATGCTTTGTAGTTCTCAGTGTACAGGTTTTATACTTTTGTTAAATTTATTCATAAATATTCTTTTTGCTGTTTTTGTTAAGTGGAATTGTTTTCTTAATTTGATTTTTAGATTTTTCATTGCTAGTGTGTAGAAATAAAATTGAGTTTTGTTTCATCTTATATCTTACAGCCTTGTTGAACTTACCAGTTTTAATAGTTTTTTAGTGGAGTCCTGATAATTTTTTTGTATACAAGATCATTTCATCTTCAAATAGAGGTAGATAACTTTACTTCTTCCTTTCCAATATAGATTCTCTTTACTTCTTTCCTTTTTTTGCCTAGACTCCTATCCAGAATATCTGGTATAATGTTGAATAGAAGTGATGAGAGTGAACATTGTTGTACTGTATGTATTGTTCCTGATCTTAGGGAAAAGCGTTCTGTCTTTCACTATTAATTATGCTGTTAGTGCTCCAGTTTTTGTAGGTATCCTTTATTGTATTAAGGAAGTTCCCTTCTATTTTTACTTTGTTGAATGGTTTGTTTTTTCATGAAAGGATATTGGATTTTTGTCAAATTCTTTTTCTGTGTTGAGATGATCATGGTGTTTTATTTTTGGTTTTTGTTCCTTTATTAACATGGTGAATTACATTGATATTAAACCAAACTTGCTTTCTGGGATCCCTCTTTTTCATGGTATATAATCCTTTGTTGCAATTGGTTTGCTAGTATTTCCTTGAGGATTTTTGGTGACAATATTCATAAGGGATATTGGTCTGTAGTTTTATTTCCTTATGATGCATTTGTTTTGTTCTGTAATCACAGTAGTATTGCTATCATATAATGAGTTGGGAAGCATTCTTTCCCTTCCTAGTTCATGGAATAGTTTATGAAGGATTGATATTAAATCTTCAAGACTAAAGGTATTTTAATTTTTGTTTTTATCTTTTAGGATTCTCCTTTTACAAATGCAGGAATGGGATCTAATCTAAATCTCCTGGGTGAAATTGAATGTGATGCCAGCATAATGGATGGAAAATCCTTAAATTTTGGAGCTGTTGGAGCATTGAGTGGTATGTGGACACTGTAACACACTATCTTTGTTCTTTATAGAACTATGAATATTACCATTCCATGGCATCTACAGACCTAGTCCAGTTTTTTCCACCGTTCTTAATTGGAATAGTGTTAAAAACAAACTTTAAAAATTTTTTTTACTAAATTTAAAACATGAAATTTTAGCTGTATATAGTCTTTGTTAGAGTTTGGTCATTCTCCATCCCCCAAGAGATTATAGACATTTCAAATGTGTTAGCATATTCTCTTACTTTTATAATTATTTGAAATAATAACTTTATAATTACTTGAAATAATGTATTTTTGTTGTTAAAAAATTCAAATGACATACAAGCATACCTCAGAAATATTGTGGGTTCTGTTCCAGACCACCTCTATAAAGTGAATATCCCAAAGAAGTATCACATGAAGTTTTTGTGTATATTAGAGTTAAAAAAAAATAGGCTTCCTTGGAATTTCTATACACACAATTATATCACCTGTGAATCATGGCAGTTTTGCTTTTTTCTTTCTAATGTTTAAATGTTTATTTATTTTTTTCTTGCATTATTATACTGGCTATGACATCCAGGGCAATGTTGAATATAAGTGGTAATAGTGTACATCCTTGCTTTTTTCCTGATTTTAGAGCAAGAGCATTAACTATTTCACCATTTCGTATGCTGCTAGTTGTAGGATTTTCATAGATGCTCTTTATCATATTGAGAAAGTTCCCTTCTAATCTTAGTTTGCTGATAGTTATTATTATAAATGGGTATTGAATATAATTAAGTGCTTTTCTGCATCTACTGAGATATGAATTTTCTTCTTTATTTTGTTAAGGGAAATTTATGTTCCCTTCTTGGCATAAAATCTTCTTGGTCATAAGTTTTTATTTTTTATATTTTGCTGATGTTCAAGATTTTTGACATTTATGTCCGCATAATAGGCTTTAATTTTTCTTTTTTATAATATTCTTTTCAGGTTTTGGAATCATGGTATGGCTGGCTTCATAAAATGAGCTAAGGATTTTTTTTTCTCTCTGATCTTTGAAATAGTTTGTGTATGATTGGAATGATTTCTTTTTAATTGTTTGGAGAAATTCATTAGTTATTCTAAATTAGTAGTAGAGTTTTTGTGGGAAGTTTTTAAAAAAGGGATCCAATTTCTTTAACAGTTATAAGACTGTATTTTCTTTTTCTCTTGTGTGTTTTTTCAAGGAATTTGTCTTATATAAGTGTTCAAATTTCTTAGCCTAAAGACTTTTTTGTTAGCTTTCATTATTTATTTCTAGTCTTTAATTTCACTGTGGTCCTAAAACATACGCTGTAAGATTCCAAGCCCTTAAAGCCTTTTGAGACTTGCTTTATGGCCCAGATTATGATGTGTTTTTGATAAATGGTCCATGTGAACTTGAAAAGAGTATGTATCTTATAGTTGTTGGGTACATGTTCTATATGTCAGGTCTATTTGATTATTCATTTATTCCAATATTCTATATTCTTTCTGATTTGTGTGATAGATAAGAAATGGTATTTCAATTTGGTTTTATTTTCTTTTATTGTAAAATTTTATTGGTATTTAATGAAGTTTCACATGTTTAAAGGCCATTAACATTTTTCTGTGAACTGTTTATACCTCTTATGTGGCTTGCCTTTTAAAACTCTATAATGTGCTTTATCATATTGGAATTTAAAATTTTTATTTGTCAAAATTATTTCTCTGTTGTGGATTTTTGTATTTTGCATTTGTAAGGTTTCTCTCTCATAATTATGAGTTTGGTCACCCATATTTTCTTCTAATATGTGCATAATATATTTTTATTTAACTCTTTTTTTTGTTTTTGTTTGTTTTAAAATTTCAACCATTAATGGCATTTTATTAAGGACAGTGATGGTGAACCTTTTGAGCTCGGCGTGTCAGCATTTTGAAAAACCCTAACTTAACTCTGGTGCTGTGTCACATATAGAAATTTTTTGATATTTGCAACCATAGTAAAACAGACTTACATTTTTGATATTTATTTTATTTTATATATTTAAATGCCATTTAACAAAGAAAAATCAACCAAAAAAATGAGTTCGCGTGTCACCTCTGTCATAGGTTCGCCATCACTGATTTAGGAAGTTTCTATGTATCACACAGGTATTAACTTCCTCTCATAACCCCCCTAAAAATACAGAAAGATTAAAAAACAAGAAAAGCCCTTAACATATAAAATTTCAGTTTCTCTAAAGTCTTAGGTTAAAAAAGAAAAAGGTAGTGGCACTTCTCCTTTATGAGAAGAATTCAGTCTTTTCTTAGGCTCACTACAGATTTCTACTCCTTCCTGGGCAAAAAATGGTCAACGCTTCTGCCTCCTTTTAGTAAATTCATTTCTTGATTATTACACATTAGCATTCCCCACTTGACACCTTCTTAGACACTTGATTGTTGGATGCATTTCTCATTTGGCAAACATCCAATGTGGCTTTGCCTGGGATGTCTAAGTGTCAGGAACAGCAGTGTTGATGTTCTGCTTTTGAGGGGGAAATATATGTAGCGATGCAGACATTCCCAGGAAGAACAAATGTAGGCTGAAAGGGGTGTGCACAGAGTGCAGAGGGCTGACAGGCACTGCGTGGTTTGAATTCTGTGGCCGTCAGCCACTGAAAACTGTAGTGCAGGCCAGAATATAAATCTTCGCAGAAAGAAGTTTGGTTGGACAGTGAAATGGCAGAGCTGGCTTCATGTTGTTCCAAGGGTATCAGACAGAGGCACACAAAAAGCAGTATGGGTCGTCTGCAGTGAGCAGTAGTCTGTGTGTGATCATGTATGGGCAGTTCTGGAAATGTTCTGTTAACGAGGCTCAGGGAGAAGGGACAAGAAGCATCCTATTAAAATACACTTCCACCTCTAACCTAAGCTCCCAGGCCTCCTTGGCTCTGGGATTCACAAGGCCAAAATAAAGTTCAGAGTGTGTCTCCTAGGTCACCTGGAAACTGGTTCACTGGGCCATTTCAGAAGACCTGGCGAGGTCATACCCAGAAGGTTATGCCTTGATGATCTTCACATTGTCCACAGGGGGGTCCTAGGAGTTTGTTTCCACCATTTCTACTCTATTCACCATTCCTATACCCTGGCACACGCGGCCAAAAATGGTGTGTTTGCCATCAAGCCACTGGGTGGGAGCTAGGGTCACAGAGAACTGGCCACCGTTGGTGTCTGGCCCTGCATTGGCCATTGCAAGAATTCCAGCCCCCGTGAATTTCAAGTCTGGATGAAACTCATCTTCAAACTGCTTGCCAGAGATAGATGCACCACCTCGACCTGTTGGGTCACCTCCCTGGACCATGAAGGCTGTGATGATTCTGTGGAATTTGGTGCCATTGTAGTAACCTTGACGAGCCAACTCAGCAAAGTTCTTGCAGGTCTTTGGAGCATGCTTCCAGTACAGCTCCAGCACGATGGTCCCCATGCTGGTCTCTAAGTAGACGTTGGGCGGCTGCCAGGAGTCGGGGGTGGGGGTGGGGGGAATAGCCGCCATAGCGGAGCTGGTAGAATCTTTCCCCAGCAGTTGCCACTTCCGGCGTCGATTCCCCGGGGACCCGCTGGTTCAAGGTACACTTCCGGTCCCCGTGGTTCAACCCTGTGATGCCAAGATTTGAAGAGTTGAGAAAAGGAAGAGGAAGGACACCACCTCCAAAGCCAGGAGGCTGGGGTGCGAGGCCTATTTAACTCTTTTTTTATTATATATATATATATATATATATATATATATATATATATATACACACACACATACACACACACACATATATATATATATATATATATATATATATATATATATATATATTTTATTGATTTTTTACAGAGAGGAAGGGAGAAGGGATAGAGAGTTAGAAACATCATGAGAGAGAAACATCGATCAGCTGCCTCCTGTACACTCCCTACTGGGGATGTGCCTGCAACCAAGGTACATGCCCTTGACCGGAATCGAACCTGGGGCCCTTGAGTCCGCAGGCAGACGCTCTATCCACTGAGCCAAACCGGTTAGGGCGAGGCCTATTTAACTCTTAAATGCATTATTTATTTTTCTGAAATGACCAACAAATTGTCCCTACATAATTTATTGAATAAGAACAATAATAATTACCATTTATTAGATAACTATTGCATAATGTGCATTTTTCTCCAGTAGTTTATATATATTAAGTTATTTAATTCTCACAATAACATGAGGTCAGTACTTTCCCCCCTATTTTCCAGATGAGAAAACTGAGACACAGGAGAAGTTTACTAATTTGTCCATGGTTACTGTATCAGACTGGGTTCAACTAGGAAACAGAAACTACCCAGTAGTTTAAACAGGAGAGGTTTAATATAAAGAATTATTAAACAGTGGTAAGAGAGTAACTCTATAAAGGTGGAAAGAAAACTCAAAGTGTATTCTAGGACAGAAGAATACTGAAGTAGGGATTAACTTAGAAGGGAATTCAGATCTTGTTGTAGAAGGTATAGTTGCAGCCCACTGTCAGGCGGAGAAGTTGCTGGGGTACCCAGGCCATTGTCACTGTGAGAGCAGGAACAATCTTGGGTGGCTCAGGTGAGCTTGGCCTGGTAGGTGGGCACACAGAGGTCAGGAAGCCATGGTAACTAAACCTCTGTTGCACAGGATAGCAATTGGGCTTTTGGCTCATTAGATAGTCAACCAGGGGAGCATTTTGCCATGTGTGCTTGTCGGACTGAGGAGAAGATGAGGGGATCAGTGACTTGAGCTGGGTGCAGCCCTATTCTTTCTTTGGCTGTCAGCTATGCTGCCATGGCCTGAATCAAGAGCTGGGGAAAACATGTGGTGGCCAAATGCTGGAGAAAACTGTACCCTGCAGTCACTTAGCACTGGAGACTACCATGTGGGCCAAAAAGTGGAGAAAAACTGGTATTCTCCAGGAGCTGGATAGCAAGCCACCCTTTCCTCCTGCAGTGTGTCTCCAGTGCCCTCTACTGACAAAGTATATCAGTGTGCCAGCTGGCAAAGGAAACATTTAAAGGGCCCTTTTCCATTTTTACAGATCAGGCAACAAAGGATGAATTGGTAGCCGAGAACCAATAAATTGATAGCTGGTACAGTAGTAAAATAGTTGGATCTCCAGCACTCTATGTGTTCTTTCTGCCTCTAATATGTACCCTATCTGTGCCCTACTCATTTGAAAATTATCTTTATCACATGTTAAATATCCAAATTCATGTGTGTCTGTGTCTGAAGTTTAGCTTTATTCTATTCAATTGATATACTTGTCTATTTTGTACTCAAACCACACTCTTTTCATTAGAATAGTTTTTAATGAAAATGATCTCATTGGGTGAAGTCTTAATTTTTCCCCCCAAAGTTTTCTCTTTCTAATGAATTTAAGAGTCAGCTTGGCATACTTCAGAAATTTTTTGAAGTTTTGAATTAATAGAGAGTTTGTAAGTTACTTTGGTAATTGTTAATGTCTACAATATTGAATCATTTATCCAGAAATATATTTAAGAGCTCAGAGACCTGAGCTTTTCCATCCTTTGGTATTTTATACATTTTTTTGTGTGACACTTTTTTTTTAAATGTCAATATGGTGGTCTTAATTGTAATTTTTATAGCCGCTTTATATCCCACTGCTGATTTTTTATTTGCATTAGTAGTGAACTGAGAGGCATCATAGCTTAGTGGTTAAGGGCATAGTCTCTGGCATTAGCTGCCTCTGTTAAAATCTCAGCACTAATCTTGGGCAGGTGAGTTAACCCTCTGTGAAAATGTTTCCTCAGTAATGAGATAGGGTTCATAAGGGTATTTATGTGAAAGGTTGAAGGGATCAATGAAGTAATCTGATTACATTTAAGGGATTGGCACTAGGTTTGACACATATTAGATACTGAGTTACTGTCACTGTCTTCTGTCCTTATCATCAGTGTCTTATTTGTTGTTGTCATTGTCATCCTGATATAAGGTTTTCACACTAATACTTACTGCCGTCATTCTTCCCAGATAAGTGCCCATTTTTCACTTTTCACATTCTGTTTTTCCTCATGGGAACAATCTGAATCATACTTTAGGTTACAATCTGAACTATACTTTAGATCACAATCTTGTATATACTTGGTCTATTCTCCCTACCCTTACCTAGTTTGAAGGACTTCCTCTATATTCAGTCCTTCTTACAGGTGAGATTTAAAATATTTGGCCATTAATTTTCCTCCCCAATTAAATTTGAAGCTGTTTGTAATCATGCTTATTTTTTAAATATTTTTATTGATTTTCAGAGAGAGAGGGAGTGAGAGGGAGAGAGAAAGAAAAACATCGATGTGAGGGCAGAAAATCAGTTGGCTGCAGGCCCCCCACCAGTACCAAGCCCACAACCCGGACATGTGCCCAGACGGGAAATGGAACCGGCAACCTTTTGGTGCATGGGACGATGTCCAACTAACCAAGCCAAGCTGGCCAGGGCAATTCTTTAGAGGAAATATATGGTTTTGATTGTAGATGTCACATTTTCAGTTTATTTTTCTATTCTGTTATTCTGATATCTATTAAAAAGGAAGCTAATTTAAATGTGTATTATTTTAAATTCAGTTTTTGCTGCTGTAGCGTATGACAAAACACGAGAAGGTATGTTTTATATTTGTTCTTTTCTTGAATTTACTAGATATTCATGTATTTGTTGATTTGATCTGTATTGTTTATGATAATTAATGGTTTTTATTAATATATAAAAGGAGAGTTTTCCAAGATATTTAAAACTTGTGTTTATTGAAATTGCCACAAAACTGAGTGGGAAAGTTGAAGACTTTTTACTTCATTTTCTGCTAATTTTATTTTATAGGAATCAAGAACCCAGTCTCAGTTGCGAACAGACTCTTGTGTGAAGGGCAGAAGGGCAAGCTCTCTGCTGGCCGGATTCCTCCCTGGTAACCACTTTGTTCTGCCTGACTTTCCCTGGGTCTTTGGTCTTTGGTGCATGCAGTGTTTGAAGGCTATTTTTATCCACAGAAGGATGATGCTGTTGGTTGTACACCAGCGGTAGCTTGCCTTTGAGTTGAAGACTCACTTTGTTCTGTGATCTTTGTACACTTGATAGAACTCCGGATGGAATAGAATATTGTGGATTAAAGCAGAAAAGAGATCAGAGTTATTTTTGGTTTTGTAGTTGATTATAGGGATGTTTTTGCTGTTACTAAGTACTCAACTGGGGTCTTTTTATTATGAAACTTTAAAAGTGTCTTGCACATTCTAGTCCAGAGTCTAAACTAATTGTTAATCTTGAGGAGTTCTTAGAATAAAAGTACTTAATTTTTCTCATCTGCAGAAACACATTGTGACACTAAGATTAGTCAGATCACATCTCTTCTCCAGCATTAACATACAATTCTCATTAAAAACACTTTGAACTTTTCAAATAGTTATAAGAGTAGAGAGAATGTTGTAAAGAGCCCTCATGAACCTGTCATCCAGCTCCAATAATTAACAATGCTTTTGCTCTTCATCTCTTTGATGCATATATTTTTTATCCTAGCATTTTAAAGCAAATCCTCGACATCCTATTTTACCCTCAGATAGTTCTGTAAATTTGTCTGTTTGCAAAGCATAACCACCATCCTGTTAGCATGCCTAACATTATTAACAAATATGCCTCAATACTGTCTCATACTCAGTATGTGTTCAGCATGCCTGGTGTGAAGGTTACATTAGTGTTCTGTGTGAAAGCTATGACAGTAGTACTGTAGGAATCACTTTATTTGACTGTTACAATTTTAAGTCCTAGAAAATAAATTTATTAATAGTTTTGAAAAATCTTGAAACCTTTTACCTAAATAAATTAAAGGTATTCTTTTAATCATATACTTCTTAGGTGTTTAATTGTGGTATTACAAAGGTTGATTATTTAAAATTTTCAAAGAAATATTTGTTTTCAATAAAACAAGAGTAAGGGAAAGCAATCTCTAATATGTGTTTCATTATTTCCATCATGTTTAAGAAGTATAAAGTTAAGAAAAAAACAACCAAAATTCTAAAAATTAATAAAGGATACAAATAGACAACTTATAGAAAAGAAAATATTGATGACATATAAATACATGAAAAGGTGCTCAATCATATATTAATTAAGGAATTGTGAATTAAAATGATACGATATTTTCACCTTATTTAAAGTAGTAAAATTAACTAATAAGACTAATTAGACTAATTATAAGACATATATCCAGTCTTGTTGAGGGTGTGGAAAATAGGTTTTTTTGTGTTACTAGTGCTGGTGGGAACATACATTGATATAGTTAGTTGAGAGACATTTTGACATTATTGATTAATGTAAAAAATGACAACGCACATACTGCTTGCTCCAGCAATTACACCTTAAGACAGAACACCTTCACATGTACACAGGAAGGCTTGTGCAGCAAAAGAGGGCTACAGCAATGTGGCTTGTGTATAAAACTATACACAACCTAGGTGTCCATCAATGGCTGAGTAAACTATTTTCTGGTTGTATTATTAACTATGCAGCATAAATTAAAGAGAGTCACATTTATATATAGTAACATGCATAGATCTCTAAGTTGCTGAATGTGTTCAGTTTAGTTTATGTTTCCTTAAAACAGGGGTCCTTAAACTTTTTAAACAGGGGGCCAGTTCACTGTCCCTCAGACTGCTGGAGGGCCGGACTATAGTTTAAAAAAAAACTATGAACAAATTCCTGTGCACACTACACATATCTTAATTTTGAAGTAAAAAAACAAAATGGGAACAAATACAATATTTGTATTTGCATGTGGCCCGCAGGCCGTAGTTTGAGGACCCCTGCCTTAAAAAGTTACAAAATAATGTAATGAATACCTGTTTCCTACAACCCAGGTTAGGGAATAAAATATTACCAAAGATTTGAAGCTGAAGCCTTTCTAATGGGATCCTTATCCTTCCCTTTGTCTGTCCTGTACCTTTACCCTGACCCCCATCTCTATCCCTGCCCCTGCCTCTAGGTAAGAGTTGTCTTGAATGAAGCTTTTCTCTTTCTAATTTGTTCCTTCATAGAATCACATTACATATAATAGTATAATTTTCTAAGGATGGATACACACACACACACACACACACACACACACACACACACACAGTGGGGCCTTGACTTACCAGTGTCCCGACTAACGAGTTTTTCGAGATATGAACCATCTCTCGGCCGATTTTTTGCTTTGAGTTGCGAGCTAAAATTCGGGTTATGAGCCAGCTTCAGATACCCCACCGCTAGTTGGCACAGCGAACGTCACAGTGAATGCCACAACATCAGCCCAGCATCACGTGTCTCACTTGTTCACTTTAAGATTTGACATACGAGTAATTTGAGTTACGAGCTCCGTCACGGAATGAATTAAACTCGTAAGTCAAGGCCCCACTGTATACACACACACACACACACACACACACACACACACACACACACTCTAGAGGCCTGGTGCACGAAATTTTTGCATTCAGAGGGCATCCCTCAGCCCGACCTGAGCCCTCGCTTGGGGGATATCTGACTGATATGGGGAGCGGGCCTAAGCCATCAGTCAGACATCCCTAGCACTGCCACGGAGGCGGGAGAGGCTCCTACCACTGCTGCTGCGCTCTCCAGCCATGAGCCCAGCTTCTGGCTGAGTGGCGCTCCCCCTGTGGGAGCGCACTGACCATCAGGGGGCAGCTCCTGTGTCGAGCATCTGCCCCCTGGTGATCAGTGCGCATCATAGTGACTGGTCATTTTGAGGTTTGATCAATTTGCATATTAGCCTTTTATTATATAGGACATACATACACACACACACACACACACACACACACCACACACGTGGTCTGAAAATAAAGTTAACAAATTCACTGTGATTATTTTTGGGATAGGAGGAAAAAGGGAACAAAATGAGGTAATTATCAAAGAGGACATGTGTAATATTTTTATATTTTCCAAACATAAAATATGTGGGGAAAAATGATGGCCATTTTTCCACTAAAATGATGTCATATAGTAATCCTACACTTGTTTGGAACCAGCTATCTGATTCTTTCATGTACATAGTTCTGCTTTGTTCTTTGTTTTCAAATTGTTTCGACTATTTTAGGCATTTTACATTTCCATATGAATTTTAGAATCAGCCTGTCAATTTCTATAATAGCTGCTGGAGTTTGATTAGGATTGCAACATATCCATTTACTAAGAATTTCTTTAACTTCTCTGGACGGTGTTTTATAGTTTTCACTATACAAGTCTTTCGCAGCTTTTATCCAATTTATACTTAAGTACTTCATTCTTTTTAATGCTTTGATAAATTGCATATTTTAAAAATCTTAATTTTCAATAGTTTATTGGCAATATATATAATTATATGAATGATTTTTATTATAGTGATGTTCTATCCTAGGAATCTGCTATACTCATTTGTTCTAGTACCACATTTATAGATTCCGTAAAATTTTCTACATGGATAGTCATGTCTTCTTGGGATCTAATTTCACTTATGCTGTTATAATCTGGATTCCTCTAATTAATTTCTTTTTCTTTATTACAGTGGGTAGGACCTCTGATGCAATATAGACTAGAAGTGTGAGAGTGGACATTCTTGCCTTGTTGTCATCTTAGGGAAGTAACATTTGGTCTTTTACTGTTGAGTATGATGGTTGCTATAGATTGTTATAGATCAGTGATCTATAACACCTTTTGAGCTCGGTGTGTCAGCATTTTGAAAAACCCTAACTTAATTCTGGTGCTGTGTCACATATAGAAATTTTTTGATATTTGCAACCATAGTAAAACAAAGACTTATATTTTTGATATTTATTTTATATATTTAAATGCCATTTAACAAAGAAAAATCAACCAAAAAAATGAGTTCGTGTGTCATCTCTGGCACGCATGTCATAGGTTCACCATCACTGTTATAGATGCTCTTTTTTATGTTGAGGAAGTCACCTTCTTTTTTTTCCACTTCTTCATTTATTTTGTGTTTTTTTTAAAGATCCATTTTGATAGATATATGTTCATTGCCATTTTGTTCATATTTTTAATCTTTATTTTTCTTCTTATTTTTCTTAAAGAAGACCCTTTAGCATTTCATGTAATATTAGTTGTGATGGGCTCCTTTAGCCTTTCCTTGTCTGGGAAGCTCTTTATATGTCCTTTAGTTCTAAATGATAGCTTTGCTGAATAGAGTAATCCTGGTTGTAGGTCCTTGCTTTTCATCACTCTAAATATTTCTTGCCAGTTCCTTCTGCCCTGCAAAGTTTCTTTTGAGAAATCAGCTGATAGTGTTGTAGGTAGGTAACTGCTTTTTTCTTGCTGCTTTTAAGATTCTGTTTTTCTTTAACCTTTGGCCTTTTAATTATGATGTGTATTTTTGTATGGGCCCCTTTGGGTTCATCTTGTTTGGGACTCTGCACTTTCTGGACTTGCATGTCTATTTCCTTCACCAGGTTATGGAAGTTTTTCATCATTATTTTTTAAATAGGTTTTCAATCTCTTTCTATTTTTATTCTCCTTCTGGTACCTCAGTGATGTAAATGTTAGTACACTTGATGTTGTCTCGAGGTACCTTTATATTATCTTCATTTTTATAGGTTCTTTTCCCTTTTTGCTATTTTGATTGGGTAGTTTTTACTTTCTTATATTTCAAATCATTAATTTGATTCTCTGCTTCATCTACTGTACTGTCGAGTCCCTGTAAATTATTCTTCATTTCAGTTGGTGTATCCTTCATTTCTAACTTTTTTTAAGGTTTCCATGTCTTCCTTTTTTTATGGTTCCCATGTCCTTTTTTATGCTGCTGAAGTTCTCTCTAAGTACAACTAATCTTCCCCTAAGTTCATTGAGCATCCTTATAACAAGTGTTTTGGACTCTGTTTCTAGTAGATTGCTTGTCTCTATTTAGTTTTTTTCTGGAATTTT